TTGAAGGCTGTGGAGCTGCTGTGAGTCAACACTGGTTGTTGGATGTAGAATAATAACCTGACCTCTCTAGAGATTCGGTGCTGTGCACAAATCTCTTGCGTTTGGTGTCTTCTCATGTTGCTGAGTGTGTGATTTCTGTTGGCTTCTCTTTAAGTCTGATGCAGACTGTTTATTCAATAAAAATCGCAGCACAATAGACCCACAGTAAAACACCTCAGACTCAGTAAAGTTGTCGGGACCCCTGAGCCTCGTGAGTGTTACCGTAAATCACACAGTAGATGCACAAAGGGAAGAAAGAGCTGAACAACCGAGCCAGACAAACTTGGTGTTGTTTGAAAATGTCGTGTCCCTAGCTGCTTCTTAGACAGAGCAGTCACACTGACATACATACAAACCACTCTCTAGTTATAGTAGTATTAGTTCATTACACAGTTTTACACCTTTTATTGTCTGGTAAATAAACACAAACCCTCTTGATTTGGTTTGGATGTGCAGACTCGCAGCCTGTAGCTGTCTCTACATGCACATGAGCTAGAAAACAGAAACTGCTTTCATGTTTCAAACATGTTGCAGCTGCAGACAAAATGAGAAATAATATGAACTTTATTGGTCTGTAAACAAACATGGTTATACTTATATTAATTAGATACCATACACCTAAATGATGCTGTAATTACAAACCACATATGAATCTGTATTAGATCCAAAATAAATGATACTCAGAAAAATATTAAACTAAGTGACACGCTTATTAGAAATCAAATAGATCCTGGTACACAGAAGAGCACAGTCTAATTAGAAATCAAATACAGAGTCATATCAGATCCAGAATAAACTACAGTCAGGCTCTGCTGGAATAGACATTTAATGCTTCCAACACAGACAACACAGGCTGTAATGAGAAGACTGTGATGTCATATTATATCAGACATAGTCTTTATATTAGAGCTCAGAGGAAAGTACATGTTTTTAGTCTTTATTTAATGGTGTCACTTTGTTACCGAGTCGTTTATTTCTCATTTGAAGAAACTGAACCATAAACAAAGGTGATGTTTGGACACTCCTCCACCCAGACCTCGTAGTCTGCATGTTGTCCAGAGGTGGAGCTTGTAGGTAGTGATATGTCACTAACGTTAGGCTTTAGAAGCTGCCAGGACACTGCACCTTTATTTTCTCTCTGTTAGACTCTGACTCTGTTAAATTCATATTCTATTCACAAACAAATGTCAAGTTACGTAACTTGTAAAACACAAATAACTGCAGAGTGATGTGTATGTGTATCTGGGCATTTAATTTACAACTAATATATCATCATTTATCAACTTGGAATTTTTTGTTTTCTAACATGTAAGTAGTTCAGTTTCCCTAACACTAACCAGAAAATGCTTGTGTCGCCTAACCCTTGCCTCAAAATGAAGTCTGGATGTGAACCCAGTGTGAGACCCCTCCCCCAACCTGCCTCTTGTTGACTCCACAGCTGACTGTGGCACTTCATTCATCCATTCAAAAAATATGTCTCCATCTTCAACATGAAAAATATGGACATGATCAATAGATTAAATTTCATGTAACTGGACACAAACTGTTGTGAGACTGCGTTGTTAGGTAACGGGTTATATACGGTTAAATAAGGAGAGATCACATGAGTTTTTAGGAGAACCACAGAAAGATTGTATTTTGTAATGTGCCACCACTGTGTATCTCTAACTTCTCCTGTGTGTGATTTAGACAAGAAAATCTTCTAGTGGGTTTTTAAAGGTATAATGTGTAAGATTGTGCTACTTGCTCCACCTCCATAGGGGGCAGCATTTCACCTCTTCACCCCTGTCCAGTTAATCATGTTGTTGTTTTCCCCATTTTCCTTATAATTTATTATTTATATGTGCATTTGTTGTTGATAGTTAAAGTTGTTGATGGCACTGAAACAAATTATGAGTACTTGTAATACAAACAGTATGTTTTTATTTACCTATAAAAATATGAAGCAAGGGCATACTGCATGACACATGTCAGGCTACAGCAGCATGAGGAAGAGATGATGACATCATCACAAAGGCAGAATCAGAGAATAAGGTTTATTGCCAGGTAGGTTTTTACTTACAAGATATTTGGCTTGGTGTTTGGTGCAGCATAAAATAAACATAGTAACAGGAAATAACAATAAAAAGGTAAAAAAACTGCAACAGTTAAAATGATAAACATACATAGATACACATATTAAAAAAATAAAACGATAAAAAAAACTATGTACAGAAGTGTTGACAAAACCCCTGCTGAGCAGGATGTGCAAAAGATCACACTACTCACACAGCTCATCACTGCTACACTGACTCACACAGCATCTAGTGCCATAAAGTGGTATTACAACAAGGCCTGGCTAGTGGGTTAGCATGCTCATTTTAGTAGATATCTCTGAACTACAATAGATGGAGGTCTTGGTCATGACATCATCACTGTGGCTCCTTCACATACTATTGATGGTGTTAGTTAATTTTTTTTTTAACATTTTAAACAAAATTCTGGCCAGAGCTTAGACATTACACCGTTAACCTAACATGCTGTTGACACCTGCTTGGTGCTTTCATGCTCCTCTGGAGATTAATTGTAATGTCATTTATCTAACACCACCCAGTCAGCAGTTCTTAACACTGCCTCTACAGACTGTATACAGAGAACTTATTCTACTGTGTGTTTCAATTACAGATGATTCAAGCAGTATTTTTGTGGTTGTAACATATATAACCTGGCTTTTCTTACTCCTGGATAGTTGTAGTTAATTTAAATTGCACAGTTAAAAGTGAGCTGCCTCATTGTAACCCTCTGTCACACTGACACATCACCATTAAAGCAGATGTCAGTATGTTGATGTCATAGAGGCTGTGGTTAAGTCTTTACGTCTGGGTTTTACAGGTTCACATGTGGACAAACCTCAGTGCCTCCACTGGAGTTACATGCATTCATAACAAGCAGCAGCACAACCAACACATGCTCTCATTAACATAATAATTTCATTGGTCGTCACCTGAGAAGCTGCACAGAACAGACTGACTGTAATCTGACTCTGCCCCCATGAATTTATAAAACTGTCCCATTTATTCATGAATCCAGTCACCTGGCTGCAGTTACCTGTGGGTTTAATGAATAACCCTCACCTGGCTGCAGAACCACTGCAGGAAGGTTTCATCCTGATGTGCTGCAAAGAAAACTAGACTCAATGCAGATTTCCATCCACTACCATCAAATATCAGGAGTAGGTTTGTTGAGATAAGCACTGATTGTGTCAGGTCATCAGTCACCAGAAGAAAGGTCAGATTTAATAGTTTGCTCAATACTGAAAACATTTGTTACAGACTTGTCTGTAGTGTTGATCAGGTCTTCATGTTGCTCACAGATCAGTCTGATGTCAGTCAGACTATTTCACAAAAGACTGACTTGTTTTAAACCAAAGAAAGAAGAACGACACTTTACCCCAGGCAAACTCAGGTGTAAAACCAATGTTACCATGGTAACAATCAATGACACCTGTGCTGACCAGTAGCACTCAACAACAAAAAAACAGGAAATCATGACTCATACTTTGTGGTTTGCTAACATTCTTATGGAGAGAGCGAAGAGAAAAGAAACAGTTTTTCGACAGGTAAAATGTCCTTGTAACTGTTTAACTCTTTCTAAAAGACAAACATGTTCTGCTGGAGTAAATGGAGCTGAACCGTTGGATGTGGTTCCTTGGTCAGCCATTTTTTTTAATTTTTAAAAAAGTTTTAATTTACCCTGGCTAAGGATAGTCAAGAACTAAACTGCTTTGTGCAACAGATGAATTTAGACTGTATCGGAAGTCTGACTGTTTGTTATATATAAGCCACAGTCAAAGTCTGAGTGAGTGAGTGAGTGAGTGAGTGAGTGAGTGCCAATGGCTTAGCCAACCATTGGTTGGCTAAGTGTTGTTTTTTTCCCATTGGCTTTTGCTCTTTGAAAGTGATTTGGTGCAAATATTTTCTATGACATCATCAGGGGGCATTCACAGAAGGTCCACAACAGTTTTCATCTCCAGAACCCTTTCCTGACTTTTTCGACAAACCAAGAAGCACATTTTGTATTTTTCAGCTGCCATTTCACAACCATTTCATTTCAAGTGGCTCTGACTGTTCTGACATTGTGTTGTTACACAGCTGGAGCTGTGGGAGACTAGATTATTAAAAATAACAACTGTTGAGCGAGGAGCTGTACAGATGATGATTACAGTCAGATTAAAAGCTGCTTGGATACAATCGTGACTCAAACAGCTTGTAATATAAACCTGCTGTAAGTTCTGAGAGGAACATGACCATTCAACATTAAAAACACGGGCTTAGAAAAGGACCAGGCATCAACTTCTTCATTCTTCATTGTCATTCACTTGGTGGTGAATAAGATTCACTCATAGCCTGGCAGGATGAATGTCAGTATGTCAGCTCGTTATGCTGACCCCAAGTGGCCAAAACGAAGTTACTGCAGCTTTAAATTTTTGTCTTTTTACTTACAGGTGACAGGAAGATGGATAGTATGATATGTAACATCCTGTGTGCAGTGTCTTTAATGTTAATGTATGGTCATGATTTGTTGAAAACAAATGTAAAAATGTAGAAAAAAAGATTTGAACCTCCTAACACATTAATTAACAGTAATCCAAGTTTTTAATGTTTTCTGCTGCAATGATGATCACACATGTTAATTTTACTGATAAAAGATAAACTGCACATTGAATTACGAAAAGAAAATTATGATTTTGTCATCAGTTTTACTTTAATCAACAATTCTTAATCATTTAATTTGTGTTGCTCCTTTGTCAAGACATACGTGTGTGTGTGTGTGTGTGTGTGTGTGTGTGTGTGTGTGTGTGTGTGTGTGGGTCACATGGCAGGACTGGCAGGACTGCTGCTGCTCCAGGCTGCTGTGTTTACCAACAAAAGGAGGAGGAGGAGGTCATAGCGTAGTATCCGCTCCACCATGGGAGTCTCGCAGCCTGACAGCCTGTAGGAGCCTGCAGCGCTCAGCAGCAGCTCCCGTCTCACTGAGAGGACGGAGCTCTAATCTGGATGGTAGCTGACACTGTGTAAACGGTAAGACCTGACTGTGTGTGTAGTTTGTGTCTCTGTGACAGATTTAACAGCTGGTTGTTGTCTTGTGACAGAAATTAAGAACGGTACAGTTTAATCTTTCAGCTCTGGCTTGTGTAATTAGGGTTAGTGTGTGTGTGTGTGTGTGTGTGTGTGTGTGTGTGTGTGTGTGTGTGTGTGTGTGTGTGTCTGTGTGTGTGTGTGTCTGTGTCTGTGAGTCTCTGACTGTTAAACTGTTGTGAACGACATTAAGCAGACCTTACTGTGAAGCAGGGCTTTTAACAACAGTGTAATGAATGTGTGTGCAGGTGTATGTCTTTGCATTTGTATTATATTTTCTGTCTCATTGTGCATGTGAGAGCGTGTGTGTGTGCGTGTGTGTGTGTGTGTGTGTGTGTGTGTGTGTGTGTGTGTCTGTGTGAGCGGCGTGTGTCACTGGACTGTGCAATAAGCACAAAGTGACGCATCCACAAACCAGAGGCAGAGACACAGTGACCCATTGTGGAGGCAGAAAAGCACAAGTCATGCTAAAGGGCACAGCTGACTGTAACATGCAGAGCCGAGCTGTGAAATCAAGAGGAGGGAAAACATAAGAATGTGTTGGTGCTTGCGTCCCGTAGCAATTGACATATAATGCATTAATGTTTGACACACCGTGAGAGCAGCGTGATGTCCACAGAGTCGAGGAAAGAGAGGAGACGTTAAAGGTTCAGAATGGCCTGTTTGTTGTTTGTGATGCACATCGACGTCACAGGAACAGGCAGCGTTAACTGTCCTCACTGTCACTGTACTGTTATCAGGGCTGTTGTTTTAACATTTGACTGAAACATGTAGATCACACTGACGGCAGAGGCCCCTGGTGTTGTGTCCCAGTCGAGCACGGTTCAGATCAGAGACAGAACATTGAGTCAGCTGTGATTTAAATGTTTGGTAGGAAGAAGCAATCACTGCTGCTGTGCTGTGTTGTGAAGTTATGAAACACTGTCTGGCTGGGGGGTTTCTCTGTGAGAGTTTCCTCCCACACATGAACGGCGTGCAGCGTTTGGAGACTGTAAACTGCCCTCAGGTGTGACTGTGAGTGTGAATATGTTTGTGTTAGTCTTGTGATAGACCGGCGACCTTCTTCTGGTGCTGCTAACATGAGGAGTAATATAGACCTGGCTACAAACAGATTCTGTGAGCATGCAGCATGTGGCTACTACAGCCTGTCATACAGAGGACGTCCTGGATCAGTCACAGTGTCTGTCTCCCCAGAAGGAAACAGGCAGACAGATCTAATTCACTAGTTGGGAGTGGACATCCCTCTGATGGTCATTATGTGCCTGCTGTACTGTAAGTATATATTTTAATCCATTATACTTCTACTTCTTATTCTTCTTATTCATCTACCCAGACAAATTATATATCAAAACATGCTGCTTGATCAAGAATGGTAGCCTTTCCTTAGCAATTTGAGTAACCATGGCGATGTAAATGGTGAAAAAATTTCCCATAAAAAATAGATAGGGAGTGGTGAGAATGACCAAACCCATCTCTCTTTGGAGCCACACTGCTTCGTCCTATTTTAACGTAGAAACATGGTTGAAACTTTAAACGGGTCACAAGACTTGAGACTGTATTTGGGTTAAATCTGTGTTTTGATTGCTATTATGGTTGCCACAAGCTGTTCACCAGTTTTCCAGTCATGGAAAAAGTAAAAGATCCTGGAAAATTATTTTAGCATTTCTCAAAATTCTCTGACTTTCAAATGGTAGGCTAGTTTATGGTATTTTGAACATGCTGCTATTGGTTTTGTTTGGCAATGCTGTGAACGCACCCTGAAGTCACATCACATGCTGCAGGTTGGATGAGCCAATTCAACTTTGAATCATACATTTAGCTAAAGTTCAGTCTAGATTTGCCAGTAGGGAAAATTGTAGGTTAGCTGCCAAGCAACCGCTATGTGACAAAATTCTGGTGATTAATTCGTCATAATTTAATTATTAATTAAGCTTGTTAGAGATGATTTCATTGATAAGTTTAACCAAGTATAGACTGCACTTATTCTAAATCAGACTTCCACAGATAGGAACATATTGGTGTGTGGTGTTATTCCTGTCTGTCATATGAGCTAGATCATCACTGAAAATGTCTTGGAGAAGTCCTGGAAAATGATCTCTAGAAAAGAGTGGGAACCCTGAACCTGTGCATAGAACATATAAAATGGCAGAAGAAGAAGTCAGATGCAGCCGACATCTCTGTTCCTGTGCTGACTTTTTGTTTGCTCCTGTTCGACTCTGATGAAAATCCAGTACAGTGATCTACAGTGCATGTGTGGAAGGTGTCAACAATCACACAGGTCGTCTTTTTCAATCTGATACGTGTCTCTTGAAATAGTGCCTCGGCTGTCAAGGTTACCATGGATATCCATCCACCACAACCACCTCCTGACATGGACTTTGTCTCTCTTTATACTATGTCACCACACTTTTCCCTTTGCTCCTGTCATCATTACTACGACCACTAGATGTTGCCTAGCAGCAAAACGTAACCATGGGCCATAATAACCTGCTGCACAGACAACCTATGGGCTCGTTTTTTACAGGATGACAGTCTCAAATGAAAACAACTACACGTCGGTCTGCAGCTGTCGTGGGCCAGTGCTCTGTTGTGCCACACTGAGCTTCTGTTCAGAACTTGGTGCATATTAGCCACAAGGTGGCGCTTTTTAAAAAAAAATATGATCTACTTTTTCTAAATCATCTTAGGTTGAAGTCAGATGTGCATAGATTTTTGCATGTAGCATTACCACACCTGTTGACCTGCAGGTCTGAACTGCATCACCAAGTGTGAATTACCTGGGGGTCTTGGACCCTGGCAATAGCTGCCTGCAGAAGTTGTTATATTCTTCTTTCTTTCTTTCTTTCTTTCTTTCTTTCTTTCTTTCTTTCTTTCTTTCTTTCTTTCTTTCTTATTTTTCTCTGTTAGAAGACCTCAAGAACACTGTAACAATCATTACTTTACACACATCACCCACACTTCAGTGCAGTACTAAGTTAATGGTTATGGGCAACTGCTGTTCAGCATTACTGCAATTGACTGGAGGCCCCTCACAATATGTTCTGCATCCCCTCTGATCCATAGAAGAAGGCTGAGCTGTATCATGATGTATGTATGTAGCAGAGCACACTGAACCCTTGGCTGTAGCAGAGTGATTGGTGGTGGAAAGTACATTTACTCAGCAACTTTGAGGTATTAGTACTTTGACTCTACTACATTTAATAACCAAATACTTTACCTTTATTTGAAGGCTACGATGACTTTACAAATTAATTGAAGTAAAGTGTTTTTACATTGTTGTGTTGCTCTGAGGATCAAAGGATGTGAGTACGGCCTCCACCACAGTGTGAATACATAAAGGAATCTTTCATCCGTGTGTGATTGTGCAACAGAAACTGTTTTATTTGCTGAGAGGTTCAACAAGTTGCCCTGGAAACTACGTCAGCACCAGTCCTGTTGCTTTCTATTTTGCCATATTTTTTTCAGGTTGTCCGTCCTTCCCATTCTCATGGACACAATATCTCAGTAAGGCAGCGCCAGCACGTGGCATAGGCCGTATAGACGAATGCTAGGGGCGCTGTCACACATAGGGGGCCCCGCAAATGGGCGAAAAAAAAAAAATCTAAATGTTTAACTTTTACTCTTTACTTGTACTATTATATCTATTATTTATATTACATAAGCCCACACAACAACAAAACTACATACCAAAGCCTATTAAATAATGGAGAGGCCCTTTTTTCTGGGTTCCTTAATCTGTCAAAAGAAATGTAACACTTGTGAGATTCATCAGGAGGTGTAAGCATCAGCCCAGATATTACTGGCTATGAGTAAATGAAGATGGCACACAATATAAATGAGCACTTTTATTTTCGCCTAACAAAAATGACACTTTCAGAGTGAATATCCCTTTGTAATTATACAGGGCCAGCCCAAAGCCTCTACTATACCATACTACAACATCTGAACATTACATGTCTCAAAATTGATATTGATATTGTGATGCAGAGCAAAACTAGAGAGATTTAGTAGAGGCATTTGTAGGTGAAATCTCCAAAGTTTCCACCCAAACCCTAAATAAAAAGTTCTAAACACACACATAATAATAAAATTCAAACATATCTGATATATAAAATACATATAGACTCATTGTGAATACTGCTGTTTCACTGAGTTTAGTAAATCTGTGTCAGTACTAGATTCACCTACCAAATGGAGACAAAGACATGTAATCACCTGATCGCTCGGGTAGGGACACTGTGCAGACCTTCCCCTCGGCAGACATGAACGTGAACATGAACCGACGGCTGGATCGACTCAATATGAAAACAAGACACTAGTAGATTGTCAGCACCAGACAAAACTTGGCCATGTGTGCTGTAGAACACATTATGCAGCTACATTATGCATATTGCATTTGCAGTTAATAATTTTTGTTTGTGCAATAATTTTTAATGTCTTCATTCCTTTCTTTAATATCTTATATTGTGCAATGCCTTATTTATGTAGTATTTATAATTTAATTTATGTCACTTGTTTCTAATACGGTTTTTATTTTGTGGGTTATAAACAAAATCTCGAAGACAAAGCTGTGCAGTTTCTGTGTGATTGGAAGTGAAATTGACTGCGATGCAAGGGGGGCACCAGCTAAAATCTTGCCTAGGGCACTGAATTGGTCAGGGTCGGCACTACAGTAACACCTTGAAGGAACTTATTCAAATTTGGCACAAATATTCCCTTGGAGTCAAAGATGAACTGATCAGAATTTGGTGGTCAAAGGTCAAGGTCAGGATGACGTCACAAAACGTGGTTTTAGCCATAACTCAAGACTTCACACAGCATTATGACAAAATTTCACACAAATGGTTCATATTTTATATGACTCTGGATAAACAGGGATGTCATCTGCAATTACTCTATGTGGTGGAGGGATACAACCACAAGGAGGTGATTCTTGTTGTCTTTTGTTTTTCAAAGCTGCACTAATCAATTTATATATTTTTGCAATGCTTCAGTTGACTGTGTGTGATGTGAAAGAGGTTCTAATGATCAACCCACAGAGAATTACCACCAACTTCACAGCTCCCCTATTTTTAGCATCTCTCAGCTCATTGTGTTGGTTTTGACTGTACAGACAAGGTTAGAAACTAGCTGGTTAACACTTTAAATGTGTTTCTTAGTTGACGGATGAAAGTTTTTCAGATCTTGTACAGAATATCTTTAATATGTGGTACTTTAACTGAAGCCACTGGGCCTGGTTCATTTAGGAAACATGACATGATGTCACCTTTCAGTTCTGATCCGGTTCATGTTCACACTGTAAAGTTATACATACTGACAGGCAGCTCGTTGATTGGACAGTTTTGGTGATGTCATCCTCCATCATCAGTCTGCTCTTTGATCTGTATGCTTCTGTTTGCTGGTGTCACACAGAGCTTATGAAGAAACAACTGATTAAAAACAGCATTAATGTTGTCAGACTGCAGAGCAACTGTATGGGATTACTGTGGGATGTCACACACTTTTTAAAGGAGCTTTAATTTTTGTTATTGCTACATAGCTAACAGCTGTTAGCATTAGCAGCTATTTACTTACCAGTCTAGAAGAAATGTTGTGAGTTCAGCATCAAACTTCATTCAAACTTCACCAACAGCTGTCTCCAGAGGTGGAGAGAAACAGCAAACTCTGGTCTGATTGTACTGTCTTGTCACTTTCCGATACTGAGTCACTGCAGCCTCCAGTCTGTCCTGAAGTTGCTTAGAGGATGTATTATAACCTCCTGTCTTGTAAACACAACAATGAAGCTGTTGTCAAGACTGGTAAGTAAACAACTGTGAATGCTAATGCTAGCTATGTAGCAATAGCAAAACTTATAAATAGCTCTAGTCTACAGTTTTTGACTGATGTGGGGAAAATCCAAGAACACACCTGCTAATTTTCATGTGTGTTACCATGGTGAACAAATGATTTTCACACCATTTATCAATGTTATGCATCACCATGCTAACTAATGGCTGTTTATGGAAGATGCATTTTTTTTGGTGACCTGAATGTATCCATTTGGATGGAATTAACAAACACTATTTGACAACCACCAAAAAACATCATAAGAAGAACTGTTTTACAGCGGCTATCAGAGGATTTAAGGCACCACCCAGTGCATGTGTCCGGTGTCTAGTGCTGCTGCTGGTTCTGGTGAAGCTGGTTCATTTGAACATTTGAAGGATTTTTATGAACAAATCAATTCAGATTCCAATGGAAAATCAATGAATTTGCAACAACAAATTGAGCTGTAGCATCTGGTCATTCTGCAAAGGAATGATGTCATAGGAAAGAATCAGATCATGAACCAACAGCTTAAGTTCTTCAAACTCACAGCATATAGACATAAAACTTATACTCACATTGTTTTTTCTGTCTGTGACTCTATAGTAGTCCACAGTAATTCATTAGTATGTGAAATGGCAGTGGCTGAGGATGGATGGTAGGAGGAGAAATGAATGTGAACTAGTTCATTTTAATCTTTGTGCACTGAACTTTGAGGTAGCATTGAAGTGTGAACTTGCACAACACTGACAGGAGGAAAAGTACAAATGTACTAAATGATGTATATTTTCATTGAATAGTCCCACTGAGCCACATCACATTACCATACTGGATCTCTGCTGGAGACAGTGGAGGAATTCAAACTCTGCACTTAAGTGAAGGTAGTTTTTCACTGAGTGTTTTATGTTAGTTTGACCCTCTACTGAAATACTGAAGGCCTGAAACATTGTATCCTTTTACTCCGCTACATTTATCTGACAGATAGTTACTGGTCATTGATTAAGATTTTGGTTAATAAAATACAGCTCACTGATTAAAGGCTAAAGCCTGTCTGGCCATGGACTCATGTCTATAATTAGATGACCTCTCTGAGAGCCTGGAAAGCCCTTCATGACCATCAGTGTGGATTTTTATCTTTGGTTATTATTTATAATGTTAAATGTTGTTAAAAATGTCAAATCAGACACACAGACAGATCTTTGTTGTTAGTATCACTATGGGATTGTTGTGGTTATGCGTATCTCTGCATGTGTTCAAATGTCACTGTGGATTATTGAGACATGATTGTCATGGGTAAAAATATCATCACCCAGCCTATAATATCCAACCTGCAGATACAAACAGCATCGTTTCAGATAAACATGCTGAGTCATGGGTATAAATATCCTGTTGTTGATAGAAACATCACTGACATGAGTAGAAGGGTCATGACACTTTTCTCAGTGAGGCGCAACCTCTCGACTCTGTTGAATTGAACTATGAATGTGATCAGCTAAATTCTTGAAGAAATTTTGAACATGCCTGCTGCTTGGTTCATATCAATCAGCTGTCAGATGCTGCTGGGTATTTGTACAAACAGATGTGAGGGAACACTGGATCGTAGCCAGATGTGATGGCGGCATTCATGTAGGAGCATCTGAAGCATTGCTGGTGATACTACTGTATGTGTTTGTGTGTGTTGGTAGAAACTAGTTAAACTGTGTACCACAGAGCCTCCAGTTAGCTCCTATGACCTGTTTGGCAACGAGTCTCCACATGGACGTCTTAACTGGATTATACACAGCTCAAAAAACTTAAAGGAACACCTAAATCACACATCGGATCTTGATGAACAAATTATTCAAGTTGAAAATCTTTACTGATGTACATTGTATAATTTGTTGAGAACAAAATGACGTAACAACAGTCAATGGAAACCAAAATTATCAACCAATTGAGGGCTGGATTCACAATCACACCGAAAATCAAAGTAAAAATTGAAATCACAGGCTGATCCAATTTGTGTGAATTTCATCCAGTTTAGTCAGAAACATGCACACCAGTATCCTGCTGGAGGTCATGTTGTAGGGCTCTGGCAGTGCTCCTCATGTTCCTCCTGGCACAAAGGAGCAGGTACCGGTCCTGCTGCTGGGTCGATGCCCTTCTACGGCCCTGTCCAGCTCTCCTCGTGTAACGGCCGGTCTCCTGGTATCTCCTCCATGCTCTTGAGACTGTGCTGGGAGACACAGCAAACCTTCTTGACACCGCAGGTATGGATGTGCCATTCTGGAGGAGCTGGAATACCTGTGCAACCTGATTGGGCTGCAGGTACCGCCTCATGCCACCAGTAGTGACAAGGACACTAGCAAAACACAAACCTAGAGAATCAGTCAGGAAGGATCAGGAGAGAGCAACTGTCTGTGGCCACCACATGTAAAACCATTCCCTTTTTGGGGGTTGTCTTGCTTTGTCCTCCATTGCACCCGTTGGTGTTATACTGTGATGATTTAGTGTTCCCTTCATTTTTTTAAGCAGTGTATATATGGGCCGTATGCAGCAACAGACATGTAAACATGTCCATGCAGACACACAATGTGGTACAAACAGAAAAGTGTGTGTGTGAGTGTTTCTACTGTTCATGTTTTGGACTGTTTCCAGACCTCAAGCATCATATTATATCTTAAACTCACCAGGTGGAGGACTGTGTAAGATCATAGCATCTCATGTTCACTGATGTAGATTACATTTAGATTGATCTATATAAAAAAGGATACATGCTTTATTATTTCATTTTCTTAATTCAAGTGTGGTTAGTCCTCTTGTTTTATTCCTGCCTCATTTGACAATGTCTTGCTGTGACTGATGAATCTCTCTCTCTCCTGCTCCAAAGAAAATCCTGAATGGTCCAGAACAGGAAAAGGAAGTGTTGACCTCTGACCTTCCTCCAGCTTCAACCTCCACCATGGGATCGTCCACACTGGGAAAGGCAGCGTCTCTAGATGCTCTCTTAGATGAATGCATTCAAGCATTTGGTGGGTACCATGAATACACAGCCTTCATCAGTGTCAGTGAACATGGTCTCATCTAAAACCTGATAGAAAACTGTGGTTTATTACAGCTCTGGTTTTATTTTCATTGTTCACTTTGGTTCTGTTCTTTGGTTCTACTGGTTCTACTGGTTCTTTATATATATATATATACATATATACATACATACATATGTTCCGTATATATGTATATATGTATATTGAATAAGCAGCTCCATCACTTAAAGTGGGTCAAACACAAGAAGCAGAACCATACAGATTTTAAATGGACCTCCAGTGTAGTCAGACTTCCTCAGAAGAGGAAATGAAGGTTAGCAAATGTTGTACATCATATAATATCAGACCTATAATTTATGATAAGTAAGTCATGAAATAACATGATCAGGAACACAGAGCCTGTCACAGTTGAACAGTGCAGACATTTTGTGACTTACCTCTCTCCACAGACGACCGTGGAGAGCTGCAGGGAAACCTGCTTCCTCGCAGTGTCCTGCTGATGCATCGCTGGTATGTCACATCCTCAGAACTGGCAGGAAAACTACTGATGATATATCCCAGAATACTGCAGGAACAACACAGTGCTAGAGCAATGTAGTGAAATTCTGCAGCTGGATGAAGACTTGATGTGACGCCTTAAAGGAAATCCAGCCTAAATCTTTAATGTTAATGGAGTTCAATCAGACCTTCACTGTCTGACCCTCAGCTGCTCCTCCTGTATGTTCATGTGCACTTAGCTGTATTGATCCTGTCCTGATGAATGTCCTTGGAGCTGCTCAGTAAATGGTTGTTGCCTGCCAGCTTCACAAAGAGAGAATCTAAAATTTAATTCCAGTGTGAACAGGAAGCTGGAGAGAAGGTCAATACAGTGATCTGTCCCAGTCTGTTTGACAGATCGACATAAACTGATCCTCCGACACTGTTGTTTGTGAAAATTAAGGTTGGCATCAAAAATGACACATTTTTAATTTAATTTGTAGTTTATGGGAGAATGAACAAAGTTAAACTTTATGATATTGCCTCTTTATTTCAGCACATCACTTCTGTTTTGTATGTATTCAAAGATACAACTACTGCTGTATGAATAAGAGACATGAGACACTGAAACCTCACCAACACTTTGAATTGACAGTGAAACATTTCCATAAAGTGTAGACCCAAGGAGACAACATACAAATACAATTAATAAATAATGTAATGACAAGAATCTATTAAAACAGAAACAAACAGAAATTCAAAGGTCAGAGATTAGGAATCTAAAATGGCCAAGAGGAACCAACAAATTCATTAAATGCTTTGTAGTGAGCTCAGGTGCAAAGAAGCCAAAAGATGATCTTCCAAGTTCAGTATGAACTGGAGGGACATGGAGCATCAGCCGGTCATCAGTCCTGGTCTAATGTGGCCCAGTGGATGAAACTAGCCTGGATATAAGATATGAGGCTGTTTTTCAGTAAGGGCTTTACACATACACATCACACCTCAGAGAGAGAGAGGGGATCATGCTTTTTATACACAATGCAATGATGAGTATTATAAACACCAGCAGTAATGAACCTGACAGCATGTGGTAGACAGAGTCAAGAGGTTTCAGAGTTGCAGTTGAACCCTGTATAAGATGTCACCATCATCTAAAACTTAGAAAAGTTGCCTGTTTTTATGCAGTGCAACAGCAAGCAGGATTTATTCCTTAAGAAAAAGTCTTGCTTTAATTTACTCACCAGGTTTGGTACATGATTCTTAAAGGATATCTAGAAATCAATCCAGATATATATATATATATATTTGTACAGCTCAACAGCTCTCTCAATAATGGCGCCACTTTAAGTATTGATGATGAGATTATTTGAAATCAATATTTCTGGCTCTGGAGAAAAGCATAAATTGAGATTTGTCAGCATTAAGGAATAAAGGCAAAGTGTGAGAGAAAACATCCTCCTTCATTAACTTTGCCACAGCTTCACTGACAAATACAAAGCGCTCTGATTTCTTTCCTCAGTATAAGGACTTTAGGTTAAACTGCTTCATTAGAAGTTCAGATGGTCAAACAGCTTCAGACATGACCCCACACACCTGTCTGAACTGGGGCGGCTGTGTCCAAAAGTTTTGGACAAATGGTTGGACGTACTATGAAAAGTTCTGTCTGAGATAACTCCCTCTGTGCTTAAGGATCAGTCTGGAGAACTGATGTCAGAACCATATCAGAGACAGACCAACACTCAGGCTGCTCATAAGTTTGTCGGCTACAGCGTCAGCTGAGATGATGGTGAGTTCTGTGGAGAGGACAACCTCCTGTTGGTCACATTGGTCACAGACAGCAGACAATGACGAATTTAAAACGAATTAATTCTTGCCTTAACGTATTGATTGACAGTCATATATGTCAGATGTTGTAAACAGACCTTAACTTAACTCCACATACCGCGACTGCAAAGGTGACAACTGCCAAAGAACCAGACTGAAGATTTGTTATTTAATGAGGTAAGATCCTTCAGATACACTCATTCATCCCAACACATTAAGACTCTTCACAGTGACTAACTTAACCTCATTTAACCTGTTTAGCCTGTTACTAACCCTGTGTTTAAGGACAACACTGACCTACAGGGAGGAGACACACCACAATACAGGGACATGAGTCACACGGCTCATTATGTCTCTCTTCAGAGTCAGGACGTTTGCTGCAGAAGTGTACATGTGAGTGTGTGTGTTCAGGTACTGGATAGTGACGTTCCCAGCAGAGTTTAACCTGGACCTAGGTCTGATCCGGATCACAGAGGAGTTCAGAGACGTGGCTGCTCAGCTAGGCTGTGAGGAGCATTTCAAGCTCATAGACATCTCCACAATGTAAGACGTCAAACATCAAAAGTTTAACATTAGTCCTGATCCTGGTGCTTCAGCTTTTAGTCTATTAGCTACAAACAGTTTAGAATTTATATAACTGTGTCACCATCCGTCTCTGGCTGCATTGTGCTGACTGTTTATTCATTGTTCTTCCTGTAGTCCGTCATATGACTGGATGAGGAAGCTGACCCAGAGGAAGAAGCAGGCTAAAAAAGGCAAGGCCTCACTGTTGTTTGACCACCTGGAGCCCATGGAGCTGGCAGAACACCTCACCTTCCTGGAGTTCAAGTCTATCCGCAGGATATCGGTATATATATTAACATACATAACATAACTCTTGTATAGTTGTCCAATCAGGGGTCGGTCATTCCTCCTCCTGGCCCATCCACCAGTTTGGTCCAGACTGAAATATTTGGTTTAATGGATTTTGATGAAATTTTCATGACAATCAGTCTCATACATTCATGGGTTTCAGAGGATGAATCTGGTGAAACTCTGGTGAACTTTTTCACTTTTCCTCTAGAGCAGTGACAGTAGAAAACATGAGGAGCTTCTTTGCTTGTTGTATTTGGCTGAACACCAAGAAAAAGTAAAAAAAAAAACAAGAACAGGACCGAGGATGAAACATAAATGGTCTGATCTGGTGCTCATAACGGGTATGCATAGATCCTGAAAGACCTACACAGACGATCACAGACCCTCACAGAGAAACACAACACAAGAAATTTCCCTGAAATTTACATCAAGTCTTCCCACAGGATGAGTCATTTCCATTTTGCAAATTGCATTTTCCCCAAGCACCATTGTCAAAATATCAACTTTTATAAAAGCTAACAGAGCCATGACATCTAAAAAGCTCCAAATTAATTATCCTTTTATATACCATTACCATCAGAAACATTACTAAGAAAAGTGTAATGGTCAGTATGAATCCTGTACTATCTTGCTGTTATTAGCAGGCTTCAGGGACCATATAAGTCCCTCCACATTAGAGTGAAACATGACCTCTGACCTTTCCTTTTGTCCCCAGTTCACTGATTACCAGAGCTATGTGATCCATGGCTACTTGGTGGACAACCCGACTCTGGAGCGCTCCATCGCCTTGTTCAATGGAGTCTCTCAGTGGGTCCAGCTCATGGTGCTCAGCAAGCTCACCCCTCAGACCCGGGCAGAGGTCATCACCAAATACATCCATGTGGCTCAGGTAAGACGGGGAGGGGCATTTCCACCTTCAGTGTCCGCAAAACATGTGGTAAAGGGCAAATGAATTGAACAGACTTTCTCAAGTATTTCAGTACTTTCTCATTCACCTATTCACACTGATGCCCATCAGAAGCAACTCAGGGTTCAGTGTCTTGCTCAAGAACTCTTGGAAATGTAGACCAGAGGAAGTCCTGCACATCCATCTTGAACCCCCTAATAAGCCAAACACAGTCTGTCTAAAATGCACCTTGCACATGACTCTGTTCATCCAGACATATGCAAAAATAAAATCTTGAAGACTCCTCAGGACATAACCCACTCATGGGGCTTTCAAACAGAGCGTGACAAAGGCACCACAGCTCTCTGAAACACATTATTTCCAATGGCTTGCATAGCGCCACAAAGGTTAGATGCTGCACAAATGCTGCACGCCTGATGGCAAGCATGTGAAGAACACCTGCATGGCCAATAGAAATGTGTTATCCAGCCAGACACTGGAACTTGTCGCTGTGGAAACGGAGCTCCTTCACAAGCCTAAATTCCCCAGGCTGCTCTCTGTACCTGAGGATGCACCCACAGCCTCATCTTCCTGCTCGAAGTTTGGAAAACTCTGCCTACATGTGCTCTGTCCTCCATGACTACCTCGAACAGCACGCTGAGCCAAGTGGGGAGCGCAGCGCAAATCATGTCCTGTCTGAAAGCCATGAAGGGCTTAAACTCATGAGAAGAAATGTATAATTCATTCAGATTTATATCAGATCATAAACCTGCAAGAAGGCAAAATGATGGTGAGTGAGGTAACCTTTCCTCTACCTAGAAACAAGAAAAAAAGACAAATCTGATTGGATAAATCTGTTTTGATGGTTTTAGCCTCACTCTGAAGCTACTATAGCCCATTAGTAAAAGTAGCTCACCTCATTTATGTATTTATTTTTGGAAAAATGGTGACTACACAAACGCACTGCATTTATAAAAAATCATTTTTACTCAATTTTACTTTGATTTCAAACGTCCTCCTCTCTTCACAAATACAAATAGATATGCTTGATTCATCCGTCCATTAGAATGTGTGGTTGTTGCGGGTAACTGTGTTGGGTTCAACTCCTTATGAGGGCCAAAGAGCTTCTTCATTCCTCCTGCATCAGTCCTTTCAAGTCATCCTGTCTCCATCAGTGACTATCTGCAGACAGGATGAAAGCCTTCAACACACTGCTGTCAGCTGTATGACACTGTTAATCTCAATATCCAGTCTGACGCTGCCACTACAAAGACTATGAGTGTTGTAATAGAAACTTTGATAGTTCAGTGTTTGGGAGTAGCATCGGTACATGTAGCGACTTCACCACTGTAACTACATTTCTGTTCATGTGCTGAAGTTTTCATTTTCTAAATGAATCCCAGCAGCTTTCGCCTTCGTCATCCAGGAACTGCCTACACACTCTGGCCACATGAGGCCGGGCGTTGTCCTGCTCTAGGAGGAACCCACTGCACCAGCGTCAGGTCTGACAGTCACTCTGAGGATTTCAGGGTACCGCTGGCTGTGACATGGAGGTCTGTGTGACCCTCCAAGGACCTCCCTCCCCAGACCATCACTGACCCACCGCCAAACCGGTCATACTGGATGATGTTACAGTCAGCATAACGTTCACCACGGCGTCTCCAGACTCTTTCACGCCTGTCACATGTGCTCAGTGTGAACTTGCTGTCATCTGTGAAGAGAACAGGGCGCCAGTGGTGGACCTGCCAGTTCTGGTGTTCTCTGGTGAATGCCAGCCGAGCTGCAGGGTGCTGGGCTGTGAGCACAGGTCCCACTGGAGGATGTGGGGCCCTCATGCCACCCTCCAGGAGTCTGTTTCTGACAGTTTGGTCAGAAACATGTACACCAGTATCCTGCTGGAGGTCATGTTGTAGGGCTCTGGCAGTGCTCCTCATGTTCCTCCTGGCACAAAGGAGCAGGTACCGGTCCTGCTGCTGGGTCGATGCCCTTCTACGGCCCTGTCCAGATCTCCTCGTGTAACGGCCGGTCTCCTTGTATCTCCTCCATGCTCTTGAGACTGTGCTGGGAGACACAGCAAACCTTCTTGACACCGCAGGTATGGATGTGCCATTCTGGAGGAGCTGGAATACCTGTGCAACCTGATTGGGCTGCAGGTACCGCCTCATGCTACCAGTAGTGACAAGGACACTAGCAAAACACAAACCTAGAGAATCAGTCAGGAAGGATCAGGAGAGAGCAACTGTCTGTGGTCACCACATGTAAAACCATTCCCTTTTTGGGGCTTGTCTTGCTTTTGCCTCCATTGCACCTGGTGTCACTTTCATTTGCACCAAAGCAGGTGAAACTGATTCACAATCTCTTGTGCTTCCTAAATGGACACATTGATATCCCTGAAGTTTAACTGACCTGGTGTTATACTGTGATGATTTAAACAGTGTATATGTGTCACTACAGACTCCACAACATTGTCATTTTGTCATTACAACTTTCTTTGATAGTTTTCTCATGCTCAGTCATATTTTGTATTTTCTGTCTCATATTTGTGACTAAACACACATTACTTAGCGTGCACGCTTCCGCACACAACGTGGGTTGTATTTGTGTTGTTGCTCTCTCTCTCTTCTGCTCCTGGTGTCACCCCTCCTCCGGTGGAGCAAGTTAGGTGCTCTTCCACTCATAATCAGCAGAAGTATAAGTGGAGTGCAGTGGAGAGAGGGAGCCTAGCCAGCGCTGTGTGTGGCTGTTACTCCTTGCTGTATGAAGGAGGATTTTATCTTATTTAATTTACCTGTTTCTTTTAAATTTTAACCAACATTTACAAAAGCAAAAAATGGTAAAAAAAAAAAAAAAAAAAGTAATATGTTAACAGATGTAATGATGTTTGGTGGACTGCCTCCACAATAAAATAAAATGTGGATGACAAGTCATGATCTTGTTCTCACCTACCTGTCTGGGATTTGACTCAAGAAAAGATGAAATATGTTTGATCAGATCAGTGAAGAAGAAGAAAACGTGCCTCTGTGTCTCCACAGAAACTCCTGCAGCTGCAGAACTTCAACACTCTGATGGCAGTGGTGGGGGGGCTGAGCCACAGCGCTATCTCTCGACTGAAGGAGACTCACTCTTATCTGGCTCCAGAAGTTGTGAAGGTGAGACAACAGCAGCTGTTTAAAGCACTTCAATGTCCATGAATTCTTTTGGCCACAGTTTGATGTGATGACAGTAAAGGTCCTTGGTGCTTGAATGTCTTTACCTGTTTGGACCATCATACTGAGCCCAGTCCTTCTCCCCTGCTTCAGATCTGGAGTGAGATGACAGAGCTGGTGTCCTCCAGCAACAACTACTCCTGCTACAGAAAGGCCTTCAGCGACTGCCGGGGCTTTAAGATCCCCATTCTGGGTGTGCACCTGAAGGACCTGATCGCCGTGCATGTGGTCTTTCCTGACTGGATTGAGGACAGTAACAAGGTGAACCTGGTCAAGATGAACCAGCTCTACATGACCTTCAATGAGCTGGTGTCGTTGCAGAGTGCAGCAGCTCAAGTGGAGCCCAACATGGACCTCATCTACCTGCTAACAGTGAGTGGTCACCTGGTAGAAGGAAATGTTGGTCTAAACTAGTTTTTCTCAGGACAGAAACCCAGTGGATGTGTCATGTGTGTGTGGCGGCTGCGGAATGTCTTGGTTTTGATTTTGGCGCCCATGTTAACAGGTTAGAGTGGACACACTGGCTGCGTCACATGATCTAGAGATTAGGTCTCGCCTGTTTTTCACATGTGATGTGTCTCCACCAGAAGTAGACAGAGATAACATAGTAATATCATACCAGCAACATCACATACAACTGACTCCTTCCACTATAGATTCTATCTAGACTGAATCTGGATATGACACAGACATGAAAAATATAAATATCAAATTTTTAATCATTGTAGCAGCTGCATGTGGAGACAGTGACATTTTCTGTCAAAAATAAATCAGAATTAATTTCTAATGAAAAGAAATCCAACACTGGAGTAGCCTGTAAACTCTATGTAGAAAGACAGCTGCAGCAGCAGAGATGCAACCAGTGTGAACACATGTGCTTCTCTGCAGCAGGTCAGCGACGTCAGCCGCCACGCTCATCCATTGCAGGCAGTGTGTTCTCTGCCTTATGATCCAGAGGTTCAGGAGGTTTTTACCAGCAGCTGTCAGACAAACACAACACTAACACATGATCATAGAGAATATGATGTACCTGACAGGCAACCAATGGCACGTACTGTTACCATGACCAAGTTACAGATTATAACTCTTAAGAAAAACATTTTTTTTGAAACTCTATAACGTTATATACCATTTTTCAAGAGTTTTGGTCACCTTTCAGGCACCTTTTAGTTTTTACCTGGAACTCTCCCATTGGATCCATAAACATACTCCTTTTCATTTTGGACGGAAACATGTTTCAGGTCCATTTTTAAGCTTTCAAACATTCCCATTCCCATGTAAGAAAGTAAACCAGAACAGATACAGTATATGGATGATCTATTGTTTAAAATGTTGCCTGAACTGATGAAATTACTTGCAGCTAAAGACCACTGACCTTTATTCACCAGTCACATAGTGAGATATTTTAAGGTCAGACTATGTTACAAGATCAGAGAGCAGATGTGACTCTTAATTAACAACTTATCAAAGCTACAGTCACATTTCTACTGTTAACATCCAGTGATCCCTACAATCATTTTCTACCTCACTGGCTCCATCTTAAAATAAAGTGAAAAAATGATAACACAGCAATGTCTGGATCTCTGCTGTGCCTTTGTTTTTGAAGTGGTTCTCATTGTAAACTTGCAATTACAACTCAAACGTCTGTTCTCTACAAACCCAAAGTTTGGACGTATTTCTTCTCCAGATGCCGTAGCTGTCAATGACAGCAGCTTTATCTGCAGTTTAAGTAACTTCTTTAGCCTTGTTGGACCCACTAGCTGCAAGTGGTGTAGCTGCAGGTCCTGTGGTTGTTGGTACCATGACTTTGACTGCCTTGGATACAGATGCTGTGGCAGCTGCAGGTGCTGGGGCTTCAGGTATCCTCACTTTATCTGGCTTAAGAGCACCTGACTTAAGCTGCCTGGGACAGCGGTGCTATGGCCGCAGGGGCTACAACTGGAGTTGCTGAGACTGTGGCCACACATACGAGGCAGCAGGAGTGGTATCTACAAGGTGCAGTGGCAGCTGGAGCAGTGGCTGCTGGGTCTTGGCCTACAGGTGCTGTTGCTATTTAAAATAGCACCATCCCCAGAAGCTCAGCACTTTTGTCTTCAGCTTCTGGCTTTTGATGTTTTGCTGCCACACTTTGTCTCCAACCTCAAAGTTGATTAAGTTTCTGTTTCTTATCCTGAACTTTGGAGAAATTGTCCAGGACAATTTCCTTATATGATCCAGTTGCTCTGCGTCTTTAGAGACTGTCTCCTCACCTACAACATCCTCCTCACTGCTGTGCACCTGGAAAACGGTTCAAAATCTTCAAACTACACCATGGCTGCCCTTTACAACAAATCAAATCAAACAGAAAACAGTGATTGGGTTAACTTTACTTTTTAGACCTCATCAAGAAAACTGACTGAACTCAAATTTAACCTCATTTAAATTTTCATAAACCTGACAGTTCTCTAGAATCAATGCAGGATAATGTGCTTCCTACCAAACATCAACAAGTGTGGGGTCTTTTTTTGTCCACAGTCCAAACATTTGTCCCACTTTTGAGGTCTTGTTCCATGCAAGTCTGCAGAGAGCCCTGAAAAATAATATTAGATTGTTGAGATTTCAAAATGTTTAACAACAATAAAATGAGTGAATGGTGATGCTTTTCTTTCCCTACTTTTGGATGATTCCATTCATTCTTGGAGGATGATATGGAGCACAACAAGACTGTTGTTGATCTGTTAGACACATACGTCATTCCCAGACATTTGAGAGACAAATAGAGAGGTCAAATATAGTGTGTAAAAATGTGTAAGTCTGGCATCACCACATTTACAAACTGGCTCTCCTGGTCAGTCAGAACCCTCTCTGGTGCATTCACAGTGGTGATGGAAAAAGTAAATGAACCCTTGGACTTAATAACTGGTTGAACCTCCTTTGGCAGCAATAACCTCAACCAGGCGCTTTTAGTAGCTGCTGATCAGACCTGCTCAATGTTCAGGGGGGATTTTTGATCATTCTTCCTACAGAACTGCTTCAGCTCAGACATATTCTTCGGATGCCTGGTGTGCTCTTGAGGTCAATCCACAGTATCTCAAATGGGTTAAGGTCTGGATTTCTTTTATTGAAGCCATTCTGTAGTGGATTTACTTCAGTGTTTAGAGTCATTGTCCTGCTGCATCAGCGCCTTGAAATCATCCTGTATGATTCCCTGATAAACTTGGGAATTCATTTTGTCCAGGTCCAGAGGCAGCAAAGCCCCAAACCATGATGCTTCCTCCACTGTACTCCACCATTGGGATGATGTTTTCATGTTGGTATGTGGTGCCCTTTTTATGCTATATGTAGTGCTGCACGTTCCTCCTGAAAAATTCAACTTTAGTTTCATTAGTCCATGAAATATTTTCTTAGTAGCGTTGTGGAATGTCAATCTGCTCTTTGGCAAACTTCAGGCGCACAGCAATCTTTTTGTTTGTTTTTGGAGAGCAGCAACTTTTTTGGAGACCATGGTGTCCTGCTATGGACACCCTGCCTGCTCAATGTTTTGCGTATAGTACACTTAGAACAGAGATGTTGGTCAGTTCCAATGATTCCTTCAAGTCTTTTGCTGTCACTGTAGGGTTCTTCTTTACCTCATTGAAGAATCTGCGTTGTGCCTTTGGAGTCATCTTGGTATGGTGCCCACTTCTAAGGAGAGCAGCCGCAGAACTAAAATCATCTCCAATTTACAGACAGTTTGTCTGAATGTGGACTGATGAAGATCTAAACTCTTTGATGTGACTTTGTAACCTTTTGCAGCTTCTTGTGAACAACAAACTCAAAATGTTTGAGTCAGTGTCGCTAACCCACACCTTCAAACTGGTTTCATTTATTAGACTGCAGGTGTGTTAAATCCTAACTCCAATTATATTCACATACTTTTTCCAACCTACACTGTGAATGTTTGAATAATGTACATAAAATATGACTGCAATAGATTACAATAATGCCATGTAAAACAATCCCATGAATGCCAGCTGGCCAAAGCCTCACGTAGTCCACACAGGATGTTTTCCAGGGGAAGTAGGCTGTCTGTAGACACACGTTTTCAGTTCAAAGTCTTTATCCAGGAAGTGTACCGTGAGGCTGATGTAGGGCTCTGTCATGTTCAACTTGACCCAATTCCACTCTCTTCCTGCATGTCTCATACATTTTTGGAATAGCGACTTGGGAAGAATAATTTCGTGATAGAATCTGGTATCTTTGGTCCAATTTGTTTATCAGACTCACAAAACCATCTCTGGTCACTGTGTTTATAGACATCTTGTCCTTAACCTGAACCAGTTATGGCCTCTGTTATTTCTTGGAAGCGTTCGGATGTTTTGTCAGGAGGAGTCACAGTCCTGTTGTTGCAATGATGGCAAGAGTTTAGATTTACTGCTACTCAACGTTTGTGGTTTTGTACTCTGTGTTTGTGTAATTCTTTATGTTGTGCAGCAGGTGGTGATGGAGGTTGGTTGTGTTTCCTCTGGAAGTTGCCACAACTGTTGTGCATGTTTTACACAGTACCTGTGTTTGTAACATGTTGTCTCTCCTGAATCCAAGATCATTTCAAACAGCAGAAGTACTGTTCTTCTCTTCAACCACATTTTCAATGGTCTCTCCATCCTCTGCCATCACACCAATTAATCTGAGGGGGAGCCAGGGTGTCATCTGATTGGCCAAATGGTGTGAATGCATTGTTCATGTGTTCAGGGCTCCCTCTGAAAGGTCAAAAGTTCACATGCTGAATGTGAATGTAAATAAAATTATTTTAGTCCTTGATTCCAATGTCAGGCAGTCTCTTACAGTCTGTTTATCGCACATGTTCATGTCACGTTGGTGATAAATTTTATCAGTCAGCATTAATTAACAGTTCTAAAATAGAACTGAAGATTGCCAGCATGAAGAGTTACACCATACAGACAAGACCACCAGTGGACATCCTACTCAATAAGTTATAGCCATTTTTGTTAATGTGATTCTAATGGCCAGCAATGTCACTTCCGTCTGGCTCACTTTGTTAAACGCAGGGGAACTTCTGACAACGAGACAAAGCTGATGAAGCCTTGAATGATTGGAAAACATCAACCTTTAAACTCTTAGAATAAAAACACAATAACAGTTTTATTCCTGCATGTTTTGGACAGTACCAACATGTCATGAACTAGAATGGCCGCTTCGTGGTTGTCTGCCTCCACCACTCAGACTAGTTTCAGATTACATCTCTGTTTATGCAGAGTCATAGAAAACATGAACCATTTATGTGAAATGTAGTCATAACTGCTGAGTGAAGTCTTGAGTAATGGCTAAAAAATGTTTTGTTAGGTTGTTAGGATAAACAGGGATGTAATCTGAAACAAGTCTGAGTGGTGGAGGCATACAACCTTGAGGCAGCAATGCTATTTTATATATTAATGCCTGGATGTCACAAAACAGCTGGTCACAGCTCAACCAGGACAAATCTGAGACTTTAGTCATAGGTTCTGAAGCTTAGAGAGAGAAAAGTGCCACAAAATTAAATTCTTCCCCTAAATTTCCTAATTTTAACCAGTTTTTGTTCCAGCTTTTATTTTACTCTATTTTATTATTATTGTTCTTCTATAGCTCTTTGAGCTGCACTAACCTGTTGAAAAAGTATAATACAAATAAAGTTTTATTGATTGACACCTTGACAACTGTAGAATGATTTTTGAAACTAATTATGTCCATAACCTCTGTGCTTTTCAGCTTTCCTTAGATCTTTATTACACAGAAGATGAGATTTATGAGCTGTCGTTGCTAAGGGAACCACGTAACCCCAAATCACTGGTAAGTTTCAGCTCTTTATTTGTATTTTGTGGTCCAGTGTATCCACACTGGGAGTGTCCAGTTTTGACAACCTTGATTCTGTACCATAAGACTTCTTCCACATACCAGTTTTTTTTTTTACCTGTGCTGTCATTTGGCACTGTGGAAGTGTGTGTAGTATTGTACAACTGTGCTTTTGGTGTAAGTCCTGTGTATGTGTGTCCTTCATAGCCTACCTCTCCAACGACGCCCAACAAGTCCCTGGCCCCACTGGACTGGGCCTCGGGGGTCACCACCAAACCAGACCCGTCTGTCGTCAATAAACACATCAGGAAGGTGGTGGATGTGAGTATCTGAGATTACAGAAAACAACTCAGGACATGTTGCAGTGTCTATGAAATATTGTTGGAGCAATCTGTTTCTTTTCTGGCTTTGGGAAGTCTGTGTTCAGGAATTATGACCATGACCACGATGGCTACATTTCTCAAGAGGACTTTGAGAGCATAGCTGCCAACTTTCCCTTTCTGGACTCCTTCTGTGTTCTGGACAAAGATCAGTGAGTGTGGAAGTTATTAATACATGTAATACAAATAATTACAGTAGCTGTATTTTTGTAAGCTACTAAATAGCTGCTTTCAACACCACATAACATTTCCAGTTGGAAGTAGGGATTTTCACTATACCACACATTCTGGAGCCTGTGGCAACCACATAAATATGTTTCGTCGTGTCATAACCTTCACCCCAAAAGTGATGCTAAACAGCCTCAGTTTACTAAGCTACTGTTTCTAGATAACTTGTAGTGTATTCTACTCCTTCAAAGTCTTGTGTTGCTGTAGCTACTTACAATTAAAGAAGCTATTTGTAAGTTTAGCTATTGTGACATAGCTAACATTAACATTAGCAGCTGTTTACTTACCACTCTAGAAGAAGTTAAGCATCAAACATCATTCCTTTACTCAACATCAGCTGTCTCCAGAGGTTTCATCTAAAGTTAGCATGCTAACCAGCTAGCCCCAGCCCTGTCACACTGTTTCTTTCTGATACCTTTCTGATAATGACAATAATATGGCAGCAAACAACACCAACAGAGAGCCTGAGGATTACACTTTTAAATGTAATTGAGTAAATTGGGCACTATTGTACCTGTTTTCATACGGACACAGGATTGGATGTAACCAGGAAGAAAAAAAGAATAGCAGTAGAAGGAAACAAATTAGGTTTTATTTTTTTACAAAAACCAGGACAGTTTGTGTTCCGGGAAAGAAAAACCAGGACAGTTCGTGTTCCGGGAAAGAATATTTTTTTTTCCGGGACAGTTGNGAGCCTGAGGATTACACTTTTAAATGTAATTGGGTAAATTGGGCACTATTGTACCTGTTTTCATACGGACATAACCAGGAAGAAAAAAAGAATAGCAGTAGAAGGAAACAAATTAGGTTTTATTTTTTTACAAAAACCAGGACAGTTTGTGTTCCGGGAAAGAATATTTTTTTTCCGGGACAGTTGCTCAAAAAAGAGAAAATTGGAAGACGGAAAACTGGAATGTTTGGCAACCCTAGTTCAAGCTCAGTTCAACAACTAACAGTACAACTGTTAAAACCAAGGGCCTTATAAAGTCTTTGTGAAAAAAAAGTTACGTGTTGTCAAGGTTG